TTTTTTTTGCGTGACTGTTATGTATTTCCTGCTTTACTTTGAAAGTCTGTGTTATCTTAGTGTGTTCAGTTTACGTTTCCTTGTCTCGTCAGGTCTAATTTGCCCCAGTTCCTGTGGCCTATTCTCCTTCTACCTGTGTTTCAGTTGTCATGGTCGACGATCTCCCCCCGTGCCCCTTGTAAATAAATAGTTTGTTGTAAATAGTTGTGAATGGGTTTGTCAATGCTTTCGTTATGGGATATTTTCGTTTTGGGATTTTGGTGGAGAGCCTTCGTGGTTTTACTTTTCCTTATTTCTGTTTTCTACGTTGCACCCCGGTTGCCTAGGCCGGGGTGTAACATCGTGTCTACGGTAATACCGGTATAATGTTAGGCAACGATAGGAAAATGAAATATCGCGATAGAATGGGAGTAAAACGCGCATGCGCAGTGCCTTTGTTATGCACATGGCCGATTGTTGAGTGAAACAGATGAACCAGAATTGGTTTGTAAAAATGGTGCAACTTCAGTGATGTGGAACTGGTTTGGTGTTTGTCCGTCAGATACACGAACAAAGCACATTTTTTTGCAGAACATGCAAGCGGCCGTCGTTATTGTCGTATTTGTCGGACTAAGATGCTCTTAAATCTGGGAGTAATCTGGGTCCTAAACTCCGTATGCTTCAGGTCAAACGAACACTGCAGCATCACTTTAAAAACTGTCTAAATTCTTTCATCTTTAATAAAACGATCAGCATTGCTGCTTTACCAGGTGTAACTATGAAGTTTAACTTCCAGGCATCCATGAAAACAGAATTTATTACATTTAACGGAGTTAGAAGTTAGCAGGAAGCTAGCGGAAGTTAGCTCGCTAGTTTCGCTAGTTACCTAAGCATGATATAGCATGTTCTGACTGAGAGATTTCTGAAAAATTCAAACGTACAGCTCTGCTATCACTTCCAACATAAATGAAGACAGGAAACTAAACAGCAGTGACGTTTGTAGGGTTCGAAGTGGTACTGATTAATGATGCGTGTCGCTAGCAACACCTTTCTACTGGAAATGCCTTTTGGTTAAACTTTCAGCAAGGAATTTGCATTTGCACTTACATTTTTATAAAGCTTTAATGTACATAAAAACCAGCTTCTTGTTTAAGTGAAAATAAATGGAAGGTTGTCTTTTTGCGCTAGTAATGTTGTGGAGTTGTATTTTGTCTCGCATCAATTATATCGTCAGTTATATCGTTATCGCAAATTTTCAAATATATATCGTGATAAATATTTTTGGCCATATCACCCTGCTCTAGCTCCAGCCCACAGCTTGGTACTTGCTGGGTTTGCAGTTTGTCACACAAACTAATTAGATGTTGTTGTCCTGAAATTAAAAACGAGGAATCTCCATATTTAGGATAAGTGCTCAAAATCAGTGAATGATGAGATCAAGCACAAACTTTCAGGCAGCCGAGCTGCATTCTTGTGTGCCGAGCTGGGCTGCTCAGATCATGATGGTCTGCACACAGAGTCAGTCAGAGAACCAAACACAGCTAACACTGAATAAAAGGGTGGGTGAGGTAAAGAGACACCCCCACCCTTCTTTTGCTTTATCCTCCAGATGACATTTTAAATGTCAGCCAGCCTAACGGAAAGATAATTGTGAAACTTTAGTGCAGGTAGCAAGTTGTGTTATTTTACTTTTTAGAGGCGAGAGGTGTAGAAAGTGAATCCTCATTAGTTCATTCTGCACCTGGCACGCAGCTATATCTGCATATTGGCCTTTATCATTCAAAGCACGACCAGTAAGGACTCTGGGGGTCCTCAGATCTCTCAGTTAACCTCATCCAAGTGCTAGCCTGTACTCCACCCCACTTGCACTTCTCGCTCGTTCTCATTAGTCTGTGTATGAGAGACAGCGGCACATCTTAAGAAGGCCAAAATTAAAGTATTGATTAGTATGTTTCTGTGGCTTTCCTGAAGCTTTGGCTTCGTAACCACATTGTGATTTTACAGAAATCCATACGGTTCGATTTAGTAGTACTCTTAGAAAGACACGTTGTTGTCAGACTGACAGTATGACAGCAATGCAATAAATTTGTTTCCTAGAAAAATAACACAAGTAGCTTTTAAATCCCTGTAAGTTGTGTCTGTATTCATGTCCTGCTAACGTCGTTCTCTCGCACGGTCCCAGGGCCGGGGAGCTAACTGAAATAAATGTGTGGTTGAGTGTGTGCCTGCCCTCTGGAGACGCTGATCTATGCTGAAAACTCCCCTGCAAACCCCGACATTGGCTTTCCCTCTGCAGCACTGGTCACAGCAAACACCTTTGGGTTTAGCCTTACCTGCTCTGAGCACTCGCCACCTGTTCCATATTTTTAGCTCACTTCATTTCCTTAAAGAGGGCCTGACAGTACACAGGGAGATACTCGTTTAAAGTGAAATGGTACAAAGATAAAAATAGTTAATGCATATCTCAAGTTATTTCAAGTGAATGCCCACACACTGGCAGAAGGTTCTGTCACCCAACCTACATGTGGCAGCTATGTGAAACATGTAGTAGTAATGAGACGGGCTTAAACAGATGGTATTGTCTTTGTTTACATCAACTTTCAAGTGATACATGGGTGGACTTGGGACCAGGTATGTTTTGCACTAAACAGGGGGTGTTTGGCATGCTTCAGCTCCTAAATAAATGGATTGGTTCCATGTCGATATAGATGGAAGTGCCTGCTTTGCAGTTGCTGATCATTAGCGATAGCACAGTATACAGTATTAAGATTCAGGGTCCCAATGTGTAGTAACTGTAATCTGATTTTCAATCTTTCAGATTAAGTAATAGTGTAATTTGCACATGCTTCTGGTCATGCTATCACTGTGGCTCATGGGATAGCAATGTCAGTCAGTCCGTCCACCACACCGGTGAAGACTGGGCTGTATTTCCTTTAATTATTCCTGCCTTGCTGAGGATTCGAGTGTTTGCTAATCGACGGTTGCACTGAAGTTTGGTTCAGACATTCATATCCACCGTGAGATAAATTGTATACTGTAATTCTCCCTTCCACCAAGATGCAGTACTTGGTTTACAGTTACCGTATTTTTCCTACCATAAGGCGCATTAAACGAAACCAAACAGTCAGATAAGTCAAACTTTCCTCAACTCATTCTTCTTGCTTCCTCCACTTCTGTACCATTGATTCATTAATGTTGAATTCTCTGGCAGCTGCTCTATTCCCATGTTGTTGCAGTATATTAATGACTAACCTCGTATTGTGGATGGATTATCTCAGTTGTTCTCCTGACTGAAGTTTGGTCCGTTTACAGCATCCTGCCATGCGACTGCATTTGTCCCTAACCATCAGGAACCCTCACGTTAACTTTTATCGAGGGGGAAAGTGTTGGTGTTCATCCTCCAGCTTCACTGTTTATGCTAACATAGCTGTGTCGCTAGCGATCATGTAGCACATCATTATATAGCAGCTAGCCCAACTTCAGTAACCCTACAAACATCACTGCTGTTTAGTTTCCTGTCTTCATTTATGTTGGAAGTGATAGCAGAGCTGTACGTTTGAATTCTTTCAGAAACCTCTCAGTCAGAACATGCTATATCATGTTTAGGTGGAAGCTAGCGAGCTAACTTCTAACTCTGTTAAGTGTAATAAATTCTGTTCTCATGGATGCCTGGATGTTAAACTTCATAGTTACACCTGGTAAAGCAGCAATGCTGATGATTTTATTAAAGATGAAAGAATTTAGACAGTTTTTAACTCTCAGTGATGCCGCAGTGTTCGTTTGACTTTGGGACCTGAATTAGACGGAGTTTAGGACCCAGATTCCTCTGCGAGGCTCCTGACTACAGCCGTAATGCTCCAACAACCCATCACGCGGTGCGGCTTCGTAGCTTAGCAAAGTCGTACTAAAACATTTTTGTCAGATCTTTGAGCGCCGTGTGGCACATAAAACCGGTTCGAGGTCAGTAAGCACAACCAGAATTCATACATAAGGCGCACTGATGATTTTTGAGAAAAATAAAGGATTTTAAGTGCGCCTTATAGTGTGAAAAATATTGTAATGTATCTCACAGCATGACAACATCAAAATCACAAATTAACACATTACAGAAGAAGTATACACCTTTCCTGCTGCTGTAAATTATCTGTGCAGACAGCAGTAGAGGTGGGGGCATTGCAGGTGGAGGAATAGATTCCCCTGGCCATCACAGTTGTGATTTCAGCCGAGTTCTAACAAAAGGCAGCTTAAGATCTCCTCTGACAGTACGCTGCTCTTCAACTTCTCTATATGATGCTCTCTACTTTTTCCTGCTCTGGTGCTTTTGCTGTACTGCTGTATAAATATAATTCTGCAGGAACGATGGACCTGCATGAAAGAGCTGGTAATCTTTTGATGAAAACCTGGAGGAGGAGCAGCATGTAACCCTGGGCCAGCTGACACCGGCAGAGGGAAGCCTATTTTTGTGAGAGTTGCAGAGAATTGACCAACCTCAGCTCCTCTCTCCAGGCTACTGCATCAAAATTTCTCTTTGTAGCTGGCATGAGGGTGGAGAATAGCAGACTCTTCAATGCTGCTGCTAACGTTACTTACAAAGGAAGAGAAAGGCTTGCAGCCCATAGGGTTTCTTACATTTCTCGAGAATAAACTGGCTCTGATATCAGTGGGATGAAGGATGTGGCTGGCACGATGGAGTCATCACTGATCACCATCAGCAAATGTAAAAAAGAAAAAGTCTTCTAAAATGTTGTTTTTATGTATATTGCAAGTTCTTTTTTCCCACTGCGAGGTTTCCTAATTACAGTGGCTGTGTGTGTTTCAGTGGCAGCTGTAACCTGCTGACAGATTCAGTTTATAAAGATATGAAGCTGAAACACTTCAGGTATGTTTGCCCAAAACTACCACTTAAAGGATTCATTGTTGAAATCGTTGCAGATGGTTCTTCTAGGTTTCGAGTTCATACCATAAAACTGTCTCTTTGGTGACTTTGATTTGTCATTTCTTGTCTTTTAAATAATGTGTGTTATCTGCCAGTGTTCCACAAAGACTGAAAAATGTTGTAAAGACCCTCTCTGGGCGCGCCATGATTAAGTCATCGAGGGCTAAACATTTGCTTCCTGTCTGATATCAGCAGCTTGCTCGTGGCGCTGCCATCGCAGGCCTCTGCCTGTGACCTTTCCCCACACAAAGAACATACCCACTTGTTCCTGTAAGGATCTTCAGGCCAGCTGGGGTTGTCTTTTTTTTTTTCTTCACACATCAAATGCACATTAAGAAATCTGTTCCAAAGAGATAACAGCTGAACAATTGCCTTTGTTACGATGCTTATAATCCTGTGAAGGCCATATAAGCTTGGAAAAATGTCTTTTTTTTCCCCCCAGCGAGAATTCTCTGAAATGCATTTCACAAAGGAGCTTATTGGCAGAGAAGGCCAAACCTGGTCACAGGCTGGAACGACCGTTACTCTCCGTTACATGTCAAGTGTAATGTGCAGCTAATTGCATTTATTAGATCATTATCCACAGTTGGAGGCCATGAACGTTAAGTCATGTTGTCACTGAGACGCCTGTAATCTCCACCCGTTCACACTGTCATGCTCATTAGACCGTAAAGACACACGTGCGCGTGAAACCGTATCGATGCGACCGTGTGCCGCGTAAGGAGAACACTGTCTTCACTTAATGCGCCGCCGTCTCATCTCAGAACATCAAGCCTGCACAAGACCTCTTACAGGCTGCCGCATATGAAATTTCCACACCTGACAACCATTCACAGCACAAGCACGATAACCTTTCTGCCAAACGGAAATGTCAGCGTCTAGATATATGCTTTGCTCTAAGGGAACGGGAGCCTGTAGTTGTGGGTGAATCAGATTACTGTCATCATTTTAATGCACATTTTTGGCCTTGCTAGCAGCGTAGCCAGACACGGCCAGACTGACATCATGTAAGTCTACGAAAACATCCAGCAAAGTTTTATTAGCTGAGAATCAAATAGCATTTTTTTGTTTGTGTTTGTGTTTCTAATTTCAGCTTTTGTTGTGTTTTGGTAGCCTGTCCAACCAAGTGTGCGTGTCGGTGCATGCGAGTCTCCCTTCCCTGACTTTGGTTAAACGTGGACTAACAGTTTCCTTTTCACCAGTTAGTGTGTGTGTGTGTGTGTGTGTGTGTGTGTGTGTGTTTCATTCTGTCTGCAAACACGAAAGCTTAAAAATGTTGAATGATTCCTGTTACAATGGTGCAGAGTGGGCTCGTGTTAAGAATCCATTCAAATGTGGCCTTCGAGGTTAACTCGATGATTTATTTTATTAAAAGCTTTGTAACCCAGATTCTTGTGAGTTTGCTTTGCATCCACCTAATAACGTATTTACACGTTGCATAATTCATTTACAAGCTTCCTGAATTTTTTGGGAAAACAAAATAAACTTGTGAACAGAAACCTTTTTTACTTTCAGACATACTGCTGCTAGTCTTGCTGGACATTGCTGTTGGGCAGTCTAACATTGTATTACAGAGTGCATAAACTGATTAAAGTGAATAACGTTGCCGTATATTGTAACTGCTGATCATCTCATAGTGATACAGATCAGATGATCACTGCTGTCCCTGTAACAGCTGACCTGCTGTCAGTATTTGTAGGGAGGGTTTTCCTGTGATAGTCCTGGCACTGGGGATTTGGGTTCGGGTCCTTCCAGGCTGTAGCAGTCCATGACTTGAATGGTCTGAAGCTGTTTTAGCAGCAGGTGAAGGAGTAAAAGCATATCAGGCAGAGGTGGCAATATACACTTCTGAATTTAGGTTATCTCTTGCTCATGTCTTATGCATTATTGTTAGAGACGACTGTAAGCTGCAGCCTCACCAGCCACTGTGCATCAGAGCTGACACAGCAGCGTCCCTTCCACCTGACCACAGGGTTCCAGCAGCAATGAGAATGGATGGAGATCACCGGGATATTGTGGCTCTTTGGGGCATTTAGTGTATCACTCTCAATGGGAAGGATGGATGGCTTCTCATTCTGCAGCAACACATTAATCCTCTGCGGGTTCAAATCATCACAGATTACCAGGATCCTCTTGAGAGCCATAAGTGGGAATTTTAAGAGTCTGCAAGAGATGGATAACACTCGGTTTGTCTTCTGTATTAACCTGCCGTCTCCGCTGGACTCAAGCCTGTGCTAACGCTTTCTAAAAGTAGGTCACCAGCTCGTAGGTTGTGCCACTGGTCAGCCTGAGCAGTGTCACGAGGACAGAGGGTGGAGCCGGCCTCACCTGAAAAGTCCTCTACAACACAACTCTGAAGATCAGTTTTCATCGCTCTGGAGGTGGGAGGGCGGGGTGGTCCCATTCCAGTCTGTCCTTATTAGAGAGACCCCTGTCGGGTAACATTTTCAAGATTCCAGGAAGGTCCGGCTTGTTGCAGGGTGCCGACTCATGAGTGTGAGCACACGAGAAATAATTGGCTCATCCAACTTCCCTGTTTGGAGTTTCATATCCTGTGTAATCCTGGGCTTATAATGCCTGAGGTAACCAACCCTGGAGAGGGTGTCCTGGATTTGTTTGGGATTGTTCCCCGGTGTATTTCTGTCCACTCACATTGATCGTCGCCCGTGGATCCCAGGGGCGGAGCTTCCTGCCCATCGCATGGGTGGACAAGAACGTGTTTAACAGGTTTATGGTTCCAGCTAATTGTGTCTCGTACAGGTGCCAGATAATCCTGTGGATTGAATTAAAGAGTTCCGGGGATTAGTCTGTGCCGGGCAAACGCACTGCAAAGTGTGCAGCAAGTGTCAGCACCTGTGTGCAGCTCGAGCCTGTGACTTTAGTTCACACATCTGAACTTCCTGTGCTGAACTGGATATCAGAAATATGAACCTGTGAGTCTTTGTTTGGGAGGACGTGGTCTCAAAAGTCTTTGTTTTGTGTAATAAGTTGCATCCTAAGATGATGTTTGTTTATTTTTTGTCATTTTCCCATCATGTTTTTTCATCTACATACTGAACAATTTCAGTCCCCACACACAAACCTCACAGCCCTTTGGTGCTTTCACTGGTTTTAATTCATGCCTAAATGTACACTTTATTATTTTTTTATTTACAAACTGTAATCATTGAAGTTTTCATCAGGTCACAGTTTCTCAGGGGGGAGTGGGGTGGCTCATTGCAGCATTTGGAGCTGTGGTTTGCAGAGTACTGCTGACTCTGAGACGTGTAGGAAACTGTCATCATTAGCTGTTGTCCCCCAAGAATAAGTCGTGTTTGACATCAAATACATTCATCAGTCATAGAGATGAGAATATCCCTTAAATGTGCCCACAGTTGTTGGCTGATTACAAAGTACTCTTGCTGTTTCCAGAGGCCCTTAAGCTGCTGCAGTGTCAGTCGATGCAGATCAGTTCCGATGATTAGACTGTCACCACCAACCTCTAGTTGCACAAAAAGTGGAACATGGGAAAAGCCAAAAAAGCCAAATTCCTCTTGTTTAGAGAGCGACCAAAGTATCCCCTAATGCTTTTTCAAAAAACAAAGTGTGTGTGTGTGTGTGTGTGTGTGTGTGTGTGTGTGTGTGCGCGCGCGCACGCGCAGACACAGAAACTATGTAAAATCCACACTGTGCCATAGGCTTGCTCACAGATTCATCAGTAGCAGCCAGTTCACCAGCCAGAGACCTCAGGGTGCTTTATATTGTAAGGTACAACAATACATACAGAGAAAAACCCAGCAATCATATGACCCCCTATGAGCAGCACTTTGGCGACAGTGGGAAGGAAAAACTCCCTTTTAACAGGAAGAATCCTCCAGCAGAACCAGGCTCAGGGAGGGGCGGGGCCATCTGCTGTGATTGGTTGGGGTGAGAGAAGGAAGACAGGATAAAGACATGCTGTGGAAGAGAGACAGAGGTTAATAACAAGTTGATTCAATGCAGAGAGGTCTGTTAACACATAGTGAGTGAAGAAGAAAACAGTGCATCATGGAACAGCCTGAAAAACTCATATTTCAGCAAAAAGGAAAGTTTAAGCCTGATCTTGAAAGTAGAGATAGTGTCTGTCTCCTAATCCAAACTGGAAGCTGGTTCCACAGAAGAGGGGCCTGAAAACTGAAGGCTCTGCCTCCCATTCTACTTTTAAATTTTCCCTCCCCCCCCCTCCCCCCCCCCTCCCCCCCCTGCCTCCCATTTTAAAATACTCTAACAACAAGTGCCTGGCAGAGCGATCAGCGAAGTGTAAAAGGATAGAGCTGGGCGATATGAGATTTTTTCATATCACGATATGTTTTTTTCATTTCAGGCGATAACGATATCTATCACGATATAAGCCAAATAACTATATTTGTAAGATTTAAATGTGCCGTTGCTCACAAGTAAAATGTGAAATAATCAGCAGCTTGTTTTTATTTAAATATTTATTTCCCATAATAAGTTCAACAGGGTAGATGTACTTAAGGAACATGAGACTTTTTCAGATAAATAAAGGCAAATATTGCAAACTACACAAAAGGCAGCCGCTAAAGCGTTTAAGTTTCAAAATAGAACAAACGAAACAGACTAAACTGTCAATTCCACTTAGAAACAAAATATTAATTCTAAAAATAAATCTTAGTTTGTTTTACAGAAGAACAGACAAAACTGACTAACTTTTGTCAATATCAAATAAACTGAGAACTAAAAGGAAATTCTCAATCTCTCCTTGTTGTATAGCTGAGCTTTTCAAACAGTTTTAACAGTTACTTTAGTCTGACAAAAGCCGAATGACGAATTAGCGCTTCCAGTCAGAGACTGAGGCTACGTCCACACGTACACGGGTATTTTTGAAAACGGAGATTTTCCGTTTTCGTTTTAAAAAATAATCCCGTCCACACATAAAGGCAGAAATGAAGGAAAACGCTGCT